TATCTGCCAGTTTTTCTGTTTGAAATGTTATAGTGGTGTTAACGGCACACATGCATTTTAAGTTAGAAAATCCAAAATACATTGACCTAGCAAAAATAAGAGAAAATGAAATTATAATATGTACCCTTTTATCAATCTTATTGGTTAGGAATTACATTTGTAAATCTGTATATCCATACTGCATGTGCACTGTGCTTTATGGACCATTTAATAAAATTTTCATGGGTTATTTTGGCTATAAACACTTTAGCTTTAAATAATCCACCCCCTTTTCCCCCTACCGCTATCATCAACACCATCTTAAAGTGAAGCCAGTATGTTTATAACAATTGAGCTTTTTTTTTTTTTTAACAGTGGCCCCAATATCCACAATGTGCCATCAGCTAGTGTTTAAATATTATTAATGACTAGTTTAAGGTAGCAGCTGCTTTTTCTTGGTTCAAATTTGTGAAGCTCACGTCATCATCTGTTTGTATTGCATGGCCATCCTCCTGGGGACTAGACACTGAATTCAGTGTCAGAAATACACTTCATTTTCCACTGGGCTTTTTGACAGTCTGGAAACTAATTTAACTGCATGCTTTTTTTTTTTTTTTTAATGGCAGTAGTGATGGAAAATGGGGTTTGATAATAACTTGACTGACAACAGAAAGACTTAGTTTTTGTTTTTCCTATACAGAACTACAGCATTATCTGCATCACTGTAATACATTAACAGATGAATTCATGAATCTGATTTTGTTACTTTTTCATGCTGAAAATCCTTTGGCACAACGAAATTTGAGAGGGCACAACTGACAAAATCTATATGTATGTACTTTGCTGCTTCTCCGCTACTGTCTCTCCCTTATCGCCTCTGTTCTACCCACAACAAACTCAGCATTGCTCCTGCCAGGCTATTTCACGACACCATGCCTTTGCCCCAGCTGTTGTCTCTGCCGGGAATGCTGTCATCACCCCACCTCCTTAGTGGGTTTATACACCAGTGCTGCACTCCAATCTCACTTCCTCTGTAGTGCCTTCCCTCACTTCCCGAGGCAAACTTAGCCACACCTTCTCTTCCATACTCTCAGGACATTTGTATACCTCTGTTGAGGCAGTTATCAGGCATTAATAAAACAACGCCTTCAAACATCCATATCCTCTATTATGTTGCTCTTAGTCCATTTTATGTTGCTATATCAAATGCTCAAGACTAGACACTTGACAAATAAGTAGATTGGGCTTCTTATTCTGGTGGCAAGAGGTCTTAACGAGGTACTGGTGTCCTGGAGAGAGTCACCCTGACTATATCACAACATGGTAAAGAAGTAGAAAGGAAACTAGCCGTGTGCAGAGAGAAATGTGCTAAGAAAGCAAACTGAGACAGTGGAACTCACTTCCTAATAACCCAGGAGCTGATCCAGCCCCATGAGACCTGGCTCACTCCCACAACATGGCATCCACACATTCAGTGACCCATCTACCTTCCAATAGGCCCTACCTCTGCAAGGTTTCACTACCTCAATAATGCCTCGCTGGGGACCAGGCTTATAGCACATGAACTTGTGGAGGAAAAATTACATCCAAACCATCACCATTGCAAACACATCAGAAGCAGAAGCAACGCTTTAATGGTAATCCCAGTTCCTAGCATGGTGCTTGGAACACCATGGTTCTTTACAGAAATAAAGGATATGCAGTCAGACACAGCCTTGGAAATCCATTTACTTAGGTTTGTTGGGTCGGGTCAGTAGATAAACAGTAGGGGTTCAGTGAAGTTCCTCTAAACGAAATGAAGTTGTGATGAAAGCTGTGTATATTTGTGCTCCTCTTTACCTGGGTAACTGATCCATGGTATTTATCATATTCAAAGGCTTATGATAATTATAATAAGGTTATGAACTTATACAATTCAGTCTCCTCAGAAAGCTAAGATCCCTCTTTGTTGTCTGACATAAACAAAAAACAAAAACCAAGGGAAATTGGGGCATTTCAAGAAATAATCTAGGCCCAAGGGTTCCTGAAGGATGAGGTCCACAGGGATGATCATGTGTTTGTCTTGTTTCGAGTGGGAGCAGGTCTGCTCAAAATACCAGGGCTCAGGCAGATTTGGACCTAACTAGCATACAACACAAGCCCAGAGCTTAGTTCATTCGCTTCTTTATCCAGTGGCATCGTTGAAGATGGGTATGTGAGTGGTCACAGATGAGGTGGGTTCTTCCCTCTTCCTGTTGAGTCACTCCTCCAGCAATGTCTCCGTGCTGCCCAGAGCACCAGGGGAAGTGACCTTAGTTTGTGGATTCCTTATTACTTGAAATCTACAGCTAAATTATAGCACTGCTCATCGCGGCTTTTCCCTTCTTTCTTGCTGGCTTTGTCAATTTCCCTTACATTTTGAGCTGGGTGAGTTATATGCTATTTGCTTTCCTAATCTGCTGTTTGTGCGGTGTCACTGGCAAAAGTTATTCTGTCTTCTTGCTGCCCCAGGGATTCCTACAGCCCTATGATGATGGAATTAATCCATCAATGTGGTCTCTAAAAGCACCTCTGGGTCTGACTCTTTTGAGTGAAAGACAGCTTGGAATGGAAGAGATCTGTTGGCATCATCATCATTATCTAAATGGATGCAAATGATCCTCCTTACCAGAAATGATAAGAATCCAAGGACCTGCTATTTGCATGTTTAATTATAATGGAGCATTGAGATGGAATTACTGAGTAGGGGTTATGGGCACTTCAGGGAAGGTAATTGGCCTCCCATACTCACTCTCTTTCTCTTTTTTGCCATCTTGGTATTAAAAACCAGCAAGGCTTTCTAAACATGTGTGCACTTCTAATCTGAGAGAATATTTTGGCAGAGTAGGAAAACGTGGCATAAATTCAAGTCAGCTGAGGTATGTTGAGGTCCTAGGCAGTGTTGTCTTTTTTTTCCAGAGAGCAAACTTTTAAAAACATTTTAAAATATCCATTTATTTGAAAGATGGAACACAAGCAAGAACATCCATTCTCTGGTTCCCTCTGCAAATGGCTGAGGCTGAGCTGAGGCTAAAACTGAGAGGCAGGAATTCAACCTAGATTTACATCATGGATGGCAGGGATCCAAGTACTTAAGCCATTACTGTTGCCTCTTAGGGTCCAGAAGCTTGAGTCAGGAGCTGAAGCCGGGAATCGAACCCAGTGCTGTGATGTGGGATGCAGGCATCCTAACCGGCATCCTCACCACTAGGTCAAACACCGGCCTAAGCTCTGAGCATAAGCTCTTTTTTAGCTCTTTACACACATTATCTCTTTTAACCCACACAGCCCTGAATTGGATTCTATTATTCTCATTTTCCTGAGAGGGAATCTGAGAAAAAAATCAAGCAACTTAGTTGAGCTCATTCAGTAAGTGATTGAGTCAAGATTTAAGAACAATTGTTTGACTGCAAAGCTATAATTGTAGATTAGTGAAATAAATGACTTTTTTTAATCACCAGAGCATTCATTTATCAATCACCTGACACGTTCATTTATTAAACTAAATGTATTGAGCACCTACTATCAGTAGTAGACAAATTCAATGAATAAAACGCAAGCAAAACAGACACTGTCTCTGTCTTCAAGGATTTGTAGTCACTAGTGAATCTACTGGAAATGATCAGAAATGAAATTCATTTTGTGCAAGCATCAGCAAAGTATCTTCCTTGCCTCTTTGTACCACTTGAATATTATCATCAGAATTGCTCTTTGAGACCTAATACAAATAGATGCCAAAAGTGTAATGGGCACCATTTCCTTCAAGAAGCTTTTGAGGCAAGTATGATACACAAGAAAGAAACAACTCACAGAGCTTAGATGACTTTCCCCTAGAGCTGCTAAGTGGCAGAGCTGGCATTTAAATCCAGGACAATACAACCCTCACCTAGTTTCTGAGATCACTCTAAAGAACCTCACCTAAAGATTTCTTTCAAGGTCTTTCTAAGAAGAATGGAGACAAAAAAGCTTAGTGAATAACAAAAGCTATGTATTAAGTGCTTAGTCTCTGTCAGGCACCACCAAGAACTGTGTATAGATGCTCTCTTAAAAACCACTGTATCCTAGGGCTGGCGCCAAGGCTCAATAGGCTAATCCTCCACCTTGTGGTGCCGGCACACCGGGTTCTTGTCCTGGTCGGGGTGCCGGATTCTGTCCTGGTTGCCCCTCTTCCAGTCCAGCTCTCTGCTGTGGCCCGGGAGTGCAGTGGAGGATGACCCAAGTGCTTGGGCCCTGCATCCCATGGGAGAAGCACCTGGCTCCTGCCTTCGGATCAGTGCGGTGCTCCGGCCATTTGAGGGTGAACCAACGGTAAAGGAAGACCTTTCTCTCTGTCTCTCTCACTGTCCACTCTGCCTGTCAAAAAAAAAAAAACAAAAAACAAAAAACAAAAAAAAAAACAAAAAAAAACACTGTATCCTTTCAGTAGGTCTTATTGGTCCTATTTTGCAGATAAAGAAACAGAGGCTTCCAGAGAAGGTAGGGGTTAGCCCAGTTCTGCTGAACCCCGACAGCATCACCCAGACGTTCCTAGGGGAAATGCTCATTTGCAGAAAGAATCCAGATGAGGCTTTGCAAAAGCACACACAGTTACACACCAAACAGAAAACCAAAGCTAGCTGCCTAAGGGATGCAGGCTGCTGATTAGGCTTGCTCGGAACAAGGACTTCCCTTCCCTGAAACCTGTGTGAAATAATTTTCCCCCATTTAAAAAATACTCTTTATTTTTACTTTTGTGAATAGAAGATGTGTATGTGTGTGTGTGTGTGTGTGTGTGTGTGTGTGTGTGGAGATAGAGCAATAAGAAGAGGAGGGGGAGAGGCTTAGAGAAGAAGGATTTGTAGAGACTTAAGGAATTCTGGTTGATCTTCAGGAATCTGGGATGATCTAATAGCCCTCAGGTCTGGCTTGCAGCTCTCTCCTTTACCTGCTGATAACATGTGACTTCTGACAGGCAAAGGGGTAGGGATGAGTCATTGTTAAGCAGAAAGGTAGTCTGCCCAACTTGAAGTCCTTGGTCCTTATAGTAATGGGGGAAAATCCTGCCACTCAGATCTTGCCTTGGAATGTTGTTGGAATTCAGATTCTAAATCCAGCTCCAGAAGGTTGGGATTACATGAAGCATTAGAAGGACTGTCATGAACCATGTGGGAGACCCGGATTCCGTTCCTGCTCCTGGCTTCAGCCTGGCCCAGCCCCAGTTAATGCCAGCATTTGGTGAGTGAACCAGCAAATGGAAGTTCTCTGTCTCTCTGCTGCTTAAGTAAATTAAAAGGATTGGCATAATAAGAACAAGATTATCAAGTACCTATTGTAGCTTGCTCATGATGCAATTATACTGTTTCTTGGAATGCCTATTACTGTAATGTCCCATCATCCTCAGAAAATGTTTATCTACAATGGTAGAAGTATCAATCTTGCAATCTTATTTCTAGGACCTAATATAAAAGGAAATATAAGACATGAACAGAAATATATTTATGTTATATAATCATATAAGTTGCTTGAAATTTTTCACTATTACGAAGAACAGACAAAAATATCATATGTAATTTTCATAGTACATTATATATATTTGTTTTACATGACAATATTCATCATATTGCTTATTCATAACATTGAAATTTCTAAAATCCACCTATTAAAATTGGTTAAATTAAAATCTACCTCCACAATGAAATACTCCAGAGAAATTACAAATTATTATGTGGAATTGTATGTAGAAATATGGAAAGATAAACATTTTTAGATAAAATGTAGGCTGTGAAATGATATATAGTTTTGTTTTGCAAGATCTTCAAGTTTTATTAATTTTTAAAATGTACTGAAGACCTACCAACTTGTATACAATTGTATATACACATCTATATGTAAGATATATACATATATGTGAGTGCACATAGTAAGTAGCTAGATTCTAGTTTTGAGGGTTATAAGCCAAAATGTTAGCAGAGATTTTTCTATGATTTATGTATATATATATGTGTGTATATATATATATGTATATGTATGTATATGTCAAACTTGATGTTTCCTGAATATTTTAAATAAGTATATATTTTGATATTATACAACACGATTTTTAAAAGGATACTATAGCTAGAGAATCCCTTCAAAATAGCTGACTCAAATTATTAATTTCGGGTTATGGCAGGTTATGTCACTGCCTGCAATGCCAGCTTTCCATATGAGACCCTACCTGAGAACAATGCTATGTAACTTTGGTTTAAATAAAAATACAAGGTAATTATGCTAGCTTGGGCAGTGGAGCTATAGACCATGAAACATGGGAACAAATTGTTACTGTGGCCCAGAGTGGTCTAGGAAGGCTTCGGGGACAGGCAAGGTGAAGAGAGCCCAGGCACAGAGGCCAGGCATGCGGAACGGCACGGAGAGGGTACGGTGATGGTCAGTGCTAGGCTCACGGTGTGCAGCTCTGTAGGTGGAGCTCTACCTGTCTGCTAGGAGTTGGAACTCTGTGCATCCACATACTAAGTGAATGATAGGTCCCTGAATATGTAAAGTGTCCGATTTGTACAACTGTTCTCCAATGTCCTGGGCTCCACTGTGGTCTGGAAAAACTTTGTGAGAAGCGAGTGACCTCAAGATCACCATTTCTTAGTGATTTACTATTACTGTTACACTACTACTAATGTTCAATGAACATTTCATATACCCTTGGGCATATCAAATTTATTTCTACTGCAATTAATCAGATTTTCTCCAGGTAATTCTTGAGAAACATAGAACCAGGTACATACACACTGATGAAAATATCTTTCCTATGTTGACTGGCTTGAATTGGCTTTTTCTTTCTCTTATTCACTTAAAATGATGACTTGTGTTTTTAAAGAATGCTTCTCTTGGAAATTTCCAGGGCAGAATATTTCACTGGGCTTGATAAAATTGTCCCCAAGTTTTGTTAGGATTTGTTCAGTTTGAATTTACAAAGTGAAACTGGGAGTGTATTCATCATCATCATCATTATTATTTTTTTTTAGTAAAAGTGGGATGGCTTCTCTTTTCCTTTTCCTGTTATTTTGAAGTCCTTTTTCTTCTGCCCTGGCTTCAGTTTAGTATGTTGTCTGAGTCAATAAAAAATAAATTGAGGATACTGGGAGCCAACTTTCTCAGTGCTGGAGTAGATATTTAGAACTATGGAAGGAGGAAGATGAGAAAGAACTCAGTAGTATTGGATTGGAGTTAGCAATATATTTTACTATTTTCATATTTAAAATCCATTCTTTGTTTCTCCCATTTGTTTGTATTTAAAAAAAAAATAGCTGCAGACTTAAGGAAAAGCTGCCGGAACAGGGAAATGACATCCAGCATCTCCTCCTTTTGGTTTCTGTAGTTGCTGATGTGTAACCTTTACTCCATCCTTGGTGCTTTCAGAATGCATCCATTATCATTCATCTTTTTCTGAGCCTTTGTGAGAACAAACCAGACATGATGTTCCATTGTCTCTGAACATTCCAGTGTGTTTCTGGAACAAAGACATCCCCCCTACTAAATCTGATTCTCCTAGCTGGCAAGTCCACCGTGCCCTTTAAATTGCTGCCTGCTTCACAATAATGCCACTTCCTTTTCACTCTAGGGGTTTGTTCTGCATTGAGTTAACATGTCTTTTTGGATACCTCCACCCTGGCCGGCCCCTCAGTCTCCCCATATTTCATATCCTTTGCATATTTAAGTAGTCCACATTTTCCACTCAGTGGAATGACCTTCAATCTGGGTCTTCCCAAAAATTCCTCACAATTAAGTGTGGCCAGGCATTCTTGGCAGGAATATCCCAGAAATGGAGCTGTGACCTTTCCCATGTATCACAACAAAGAGATGCATGATGAAGACTTAGTCCCTCACTAACACTGTTAACCTCGAAGTCATTGTCAAGTTGCTTTCTCCATTTTCTCCAACTTAAAGTCACCAATTTCCACCTTGCACTTGACTTATATTTCATGGGGGAGGCTTTTGAAAATTCTACCCCAATCCTATTTCTCATCAGAGCTTTCTCACCAGCGTTGCCTTGTTTGTTACCTGATCAGAATATTGGGCACATTTGTTCACTAGGCAGAATTCACACAGTGCCTGTGGCCCAGGATGCAGTTAGGGGCCCATGCAAATGTACCTTTTAAAATATGATTATAAAATGACTGTATTCTAGCTTGGATTATATTTTTCTTAATACCAATGTAGTCATTAAATTTAATTGATAATATTTTTCATGGAGGAAGGGATTCACGAAGGCAAAATGCATAGGGCCCATGAAAGTGACAAAGTACCCTGCAGGTATTTTTTTTTTTTTTTAATTAGCCATGATGAATTTGTGCCTTGGTCTGAACACAGGCAAGCCACACTTAGCAAGTGTGCATTACTGATGGCTTCACTCAGAGCAGATTGCATTATTTAAGATCTGCTGCAAGGAGCAGATTGTAATTGTGTTGACTTCATGAAGTTGAGAAAGATTAGTTGCAGTAAACTGAAAAAAAAAATTGGGTCCCCAGAGAGAAGATATTAAAGTCATATCTCAAAGCAGCAACAAGATAAGACAATAATGGCGTGCAGTTTGACAGGTGCCCTTTTCATGTGGGGTGTGTGCGTGTGTGTGTGTGTGAGAGAGAGAGAGAGGAGCTGTTCTCCTACAGATGTTTTATTCTTTGTGTATGGAAATATTACATAATGACAAAATGTGATTCTCTTAGCCAGCAATTAAAACACTGAGCACATGTAAGGAGTAGATGAGGTCATTTTGTTTCTTAACTCTATAGTGTTCTCCATCAGTTAGAGCACGTTTTGTCTTGAATGAAGGCAAAAACCACCAAGCTGTTTCAAGCCAGAAAGGAAGATATTGGATCACACAAGTCGTAGAAGAAAAAGGCTAGTCTGTCTTCAGGAATGGCTTGCTCAGGGCTCAAACAGCATGACCAGGATCTACTTCCTCCCGGTCTCCCAGCTTTGTGTGGCTGGCTGCTCTGTGTTACTTTCCTTCTCAGCCTATATGTGTTGGCAAGGCAGTGACAGCAACTCCAAATCCACAAGTAAAGAAGTTTTTTTTTTTTTTTTTTTGTCCCCAGTACCAATATCCCAGTAATATTTTTTTTTTTTTTTTTTTTTTGACAGGCAGAGTGGACAGTGAGAGAGAGAGACAGAGAGAAAGGTCTTCCTTTTGCCGTTGGTTCACCCTCCAATGGCCGCCGCGGCCGGCGCGCTGCGGCCGGCGCACCGCGCTGATCCGATGGCAGGAGCCAGGAGCCAGGTGCTTTTCCTGGTCTCCCATGGGGTGCAGGGCCCAAGCACCTGGGCCATCCTCCACTGCACTCCCTGGCCACAGCAGAGGGCTGGCCTGGAAGAGGGGCAACCGGGACAGAATCCGGCGCCCCGACTGGGACTAGAACCCGGTGTGCCGGCGCCGCTAGGCGGAGGATTAGCCTAGTGAGCCGCGGCGCCGGCCAATATCCCAGTAATATTTTTAAGGAATAGCTTGGGAAATGTACCCACCCCCAATCACTTTGTCCCCAGTACCAATATCCCAGTAATATTTTTAAGGAATAGCTTGGGAAAATGTACCCACTCCCAATCACTATGGCCAGTACTCTTTAGCTGAGACCTGGGTATAAATTCTGCTGAAATTGAAGGAGACATGGATCTCTCTTCGTTGAAAAGTAATGGGTAAGTAAAAGCTATCAACAAAAACAACACAAAAACCTCCGAAGTTTCTATGTGCTCCCACAAGTAAGACTTCAGCCTCTTGTGATGCATTCGTGGTACATGTAAGAGATGGTTTGCTCAGTGTTTGGGATACAGGCTGTAAAACTCAGAGTATTTGACTCATTTCCTTACATGCAGGGCAAGGAATTCAACCAGCGTGTTTCTTCATTGTGGAGCTGCAATGGTAACAGCATTTCCCTCACATGGCTTTACATGAGCCCAAATAAGGGCTCTGCATACACTGTTATTGAAAAAAGATAAATTACATCATGGCTATTTTAAATACCAAGGCACAGCATGGAATTTTGAAAACTACCAGTATAATTATTAATATATATGAAAACGTTTTACAATCACAAAAACAATAAAAATGGATTTCATCCCACTCGAAGTCAAAGGCAAGGTGAGTTTCTAAGTAAATTTTCAGGGCAGAAAGAGCAGACCTAAGGGTTTTTTAAAACTCTTATAACCTGTGAGCCCTGAAAGTTGGGAACTTCTTCGCACCCAGG